ACTGAATGCATGCTGATCGTTACTAAGTATGTATTCGGCACACATATAGGGGAAAACGCATCCAGAACTGGTTGCTTGGAGGCCTGAGAATGTTTACTTCATCTTTACGACATCGTTTACCCCGCATCGTCGAATTGCCCATTCTCATTACTAGTATGCTCGCGGATGATTGATGATTGATGCATCGATGACTGGTGACCGGTGACCTTTCGAGGCTGTAGATAGGCTGTCACGTGGAGTCGTGCAGACCATGCAAGTTGAAATTGAAGTTGATCCACGCCTTGTCCACGCCCCATAGACTTGGATTTGTTTTTAAATAATTACATTCGGCTCTACATATCACAATCCCTCCAAGTCTATAACTCGCGGTTCTTCTTGCAGCGCCATATTCGCTGGTTCTCAGTCGAAAGTTCATCAATGAGCACACCATCCGTCGGAGCCGATGATGGCTCGCATGGCACAAGTTTTGGGGAGAAAATAAAAATCATGCGAGAAATCAAACAGCGAGAGCTTGAGCTCATCCCGATATCAGAACATCTCTCACAATTGATTGTTTCGCCTTCGGAAGGGCTGATTCGCATACATACGTCATTGTTACAGGGAGCTCCCTCTCTTGTTCTTACTACGTTCAACAAAGTCAAAGGAGATAAAAAGGGGATTGATCCATGTGGACATCCTGAGCTCCCGTGATATGACAAGTATCATTCCAAAATTGATCTCCGTATTTGATGTCGGTACTGAACTTATTGGCTGCGATGAAGTTGGTTAGGGAGCATGTCCCATGCATCTTGTCCCTGTCGGTCTTGGCGCATTTATCGAGGGGGAATGTTTCTTCATTCAATACCAAACGGATTTGAGGACCTTTGAACCTGTAAGGAGAGCCAAACGTGAGCTCAACGATCATTTGTGCTGTCCAAGTAACTTACGATTTATAACAACTGAAACGCTCCCAAACCATGTTGGCAGCAAATGGGACCTGGTCCGATGTACGCCATTTCCGGAACGGATCAATGGCATTTGGATTCAACGGGGGTTCGTCCCTAAATTAAGATTAAATTAAGTATTCAATTCGGTCAGACAAACATCTCTACTTACTCGGCCAGACCAATCGCAGCCATTGCAACGTTGATTGTAGCATCATGGCCAAACTCGAGATACATAGACTTTGCATCCCCAGTATTGTTCTGGAACCTGTTCACGATGTCAGCAATTAACATAGTCCTGTTCATCGCAAGAGGCCATACCGTTCAATCAATTTGTTCACATATAGTGAGCCCAGCATAGGACCCAACACGGGCGGCGTAAGAGTGTATCCAAAACCGCCATTCATATCCAGATCCGATTCATAGCTAAGGGCAAATTTAAAAGCGACTATGGCAAAGATGGGGAGAATAGGACGCACTCAAAGTAACTAAGCTCGGTGGACGAGAATACGTTGCACCACGGCGAAGAGTTATATGCCGCCAGATCATACGCACATGCGAATAGAGCCCCGTGGGTATCATCGTCGCTGAGATGAACGCCAGGAAGGAGTTTGTTGAGACGACGGGTTATGGGTGGG